CAACATCGAGTGGGGAGCGAGGGAGCTGGAGGAGAGGATCCTGGCGGGCCTCAGGAGGAGGATGAAGCGCGACATTGCCAAATGGGGTTTCCCCACGGCGAGGGAGTGCTGGAAAGGACTTTGGACCCTGTACAGGGATTAATGGACAACAGCAAGTGGTAGGGTTTGGAGGGACTCTCATAATCGCGCAAATCCACCCACACTTGCAATGATTGATAACGGACAATCACCGCCGTTCCGCCGTTGTTTTTATTACGTAGAGTGTTAATATGTGTGAGATGTTTCCTTTTGAGATGTTTTTTTTTCGGAATAATAAAGAAAAAAAATACAATTATTATTTGATGTATGTATAAAATATTACTTGGTCACATAAATACTTTTCCTCCTTATCTCTGGCAGTTAAGTTTTTTTCTGTTTCATCTTTCATCCATTTCCTCTCCTCTATTTGTATTTGTAAACACAAATTTGTTTACACATTTAATTTTTTTTTTAAGTTACAGTTTATTTCCTGCCGCAGAAGAGAAGAAGAGACTGTGGAGTTTCCTAAAAACGGAGGTATAATGACTCCATTACAATTAAAAAGCGACAGACAGAAGGTAATTAAATTTTTCCATCGACAACGACTTCAGTGTAATTAGAAGATTTATTTGTAAAACATAATTAACCAGAACAAGTAAGATCAACGAAGCTTTACTACACTTCATCTGGATCAAAAGTTATTTTCTTATATTCAACAAACAGTTGTTTTGATCGTCAGTGAAAATCAGAATGGAATTAACGAGGGTGTTGCATTCCTCATCAATTGTGAGATATTAATCATCATCTCATCTTTCTCCATTCATCATGTTCTGAAACTCCATTGCTGGAGTAACAGGTAAGGAACTACCTCACTGACGATGCCGTTTAATTGTTAACGCGGAGTTAGTCCTTAATGTTTCGGGTCGAACCGGTCATGGTAAGAAACGACAACTGGCCCATTTTAAACTTCAATATTCGACCGTACAAGCAGCAGATAATGTCGATGAGAGTAGGAAGTAGTTCCCAAGCTCTCGAGGCAAAAAGGATTCAACAGCCGTATTAAACAAGTTTTATTTCAGTAAATCGTGAGCGGTTCGTTTCCCCCAGAAACCCTTGCGTAAGTAATTTACATATCGTGGTAATTAAGGCGTTCCTAGTGGTTCGGCTGTCAGTGTCTGTTAGCAGAGCAATACAGTATATAGAGCAATATCATGGTGTGTTTTATACACTTTTTGTATATCATGGGTTAAACACGGTTGGATACATACACATTTATATGTGCTTCACAAAAGGACAAGTGATGGAGTTGATGGTGATGGAGCTAGTTCTGATCTAATCAAAAGTTTTAACAAACATGTGGCAAAAGAAAACTGTCCTTGTTTGCTACAGTCTGGAAACACACGCCCGCTCTGTTTTTAAATCTCCACTTAAGTCTCCAATTTTTTATTTGCTATTTCGTGTCACTTCCGCGATTTCCTTCGTCACCCTGTAAACGTCACCTCGCAGAACGCGAGGCTTCTCGCGAGAGTGCGCGGAGATCTGTTCAGTTGCTGTAGCAACGACAGCGGGCGGCGTGAGTGTCGATTGTTTAGTGAGCTGTTGTAAACTATGAAGCCTAATTTCAGATTTTTAAGCATAATTTGTGCTTTCATCTCATTTTCCTTTTAACTCCAAAAGTGTGTTGTTTTTGTATTTTTGTTTCATTGGTATCATATTTGCGGAGGGCGCTGGATTGTATTTGTCGGTTTGAAAATAAATCATAGCTCCACCGTAACAGTAAGAAACGAACAAATTGTTTTAAAATGTGTTAACTCTTAAATTAACACAAAAGACGGGCACCGTGTGCCGTCCTGGGTGTTTTGAAGTATGTAATACAAGTCCAGCGGTGTCGGTAATAATTCCACTAGATAATGTTATCTATTGTTGTGCAAAAAAAAATCAGTTTTTCCTCATTCCTAAAATACTCGGTGTTTGACGAAACATTAAGAAAAACGTTCATGTTCAACCGGGTTTAATAAAGAAGTGAGGAGGGACTTCGTTAGTGGAGTACGAGCGTAGTAACTTGCGTCATTTTAACATTTTGAGCTTCTAGTCACGAATAGTCACATATATTATCCTAATTGTTAATCTAAGTGATATGAAATGTAGTTTTCTTAATCTGTTCTTGTTCGCTCCACTTCTCAGTAGCAGCAGCAGTAGTAGTAGGGTGTCCGGTGAATCTTTCCTAGTGTTTGAGCCCTCGTGTGGAAAGATGGGGCCGGATCTGTCAGACGCCCCCGGGTGAAGGAAAAGAGTCCAGTTTCAGCTCTGCCCTGTCCTTCTGTTCTTCCTCTGCAGGTCCCGGCGAGCCTCGGTGCCTCTGACCTCTGACCTCGGCCCTGCCGACCTGGCCTGGCCCGGCCCGGCCCCAAAAGTAGAGATGTCTGCTGTGAGCAGCCTGGTTCCGGCCCGGTTCCTCACCCTCACTGCGCACCTCGTCATTGTCATCACAATATTTTGGTCCCGGGTACGAGCCCGCACTTCCAGCAGAACCAATTGTCAGGCTTACACATACGTCTTAATAAGTAAACAGTCTTGCAAAATTCTTAATAGTTTTCTAAGATCTCTAGTGGCTTTCAGCTTCAGTTAGTCCTTCCAATAGGTCTCTTACCACTGCCCTGTGCTGCATGGCAGTGTAGTCAGGGCTAAGCTCTCGTAACAGGAAAGTTGTGGGTTCAAATCCCAGGTGACCCGCTGTACACATGGGTGCAGATATGTAAGTGGGAAATAAATTGGGAATCATAAATGTTGCTGTCCCTGAAGATTGATAGCGATGTGGGACTGAGTGCTGTGCCTGGTGAATGCACCCCTGATGTTTGGCCTTCTCCCTAACTAGTGTGTCGGTGTGTTTTCCTCTCAGGAGAATAACGTCCTGGCCTGCCTGCCTTTAGAATACACACAGGAAGAGTACAACAGCCAGGATACACAGTAAGTCCAACGGAATTTCGACATCATGTTTAAGATCGGTTGTCTGCCACAATATTAGGGACCCCCATTGCGAAATGGCGGCAGCCCAGTCCCATCCCTTTCACTCGAGTGTCTGTGGAGGGACAGTGGTGTCTGGGATTGACCTGTATCACTGGTTTCACAGCAGGATGGAGATCTGAGAGGTTGTTCTGGCCAAGAAAGGTGATGGATAGATGGTGTCTGATACCTGCACCCTTTGTTCTGCACACAGAGGAAGTGTAGTGATTTCACTGCGTGGTTCCTAATATTTTGGTTAGTGAGTGGGCACTGTACCACTCTGTATTGTATGTGTGTTTCTGTGAAAGTGTTGGTGCTGCCTGTGTGTAAATATTTACCAATGCATGGGAAGAACTGTGTGTCAAGTGTCAGTTTCGGGGTTCTCTCCCACTACAACCCTTCTGACGTTTTGTGGGCGGTTGCTTCTCTTTCCGTGTCGCAGGCTCGTCGTGGCCCTCTCCGTGACCCTCGGCATGTTTGCCATCGAGCTGGCCGGCTTCTTCTCCGGCGTGTCCATGTTCAACAGCAGCCAGGGCCTCCTCTGTATCCTTCACACGCTGCCCAGGACTGTGGCCCGGACCTCCCTGGTCCCTTCACAGAGCTGCCCGAGGCTGATATGCTGTTCCCAGTGCAGAGTCTGGTCTCCCACCTGTTGAATTTTAGTTGGGAAGCATGTGGAGCTGTGATGGACAGCCCTGAAGTTGACAGGACCGACTTCCCCTAGGGGCAGGGAAATACAGAAAGCAGTTGGACACTCCGATCCAGCTGAGGATGGGTTGATGAATATCGGAGAGAGAGCAGGCACAGGCAGGGTTTAGCCGTCAGTGTGTCAGGCAGGGTGTCCTGAGAGTAGCGCAGTGAACAAACAGGGAAAGATGTCATCTTGCTGTGACATGTGAGATGTCCTGGTATGAGTGTATCTGAGATGGGTCTCCACTGCGATGGAGTGGCTTCCTGTCCAGGGTGCATCCTGCCTTACATCCAGTGCTTGCCAGGATAGTCTCCAGCTGTCCCGCAACCCTGAACTGGAAGAAGCAGCTAGGAATCGGGTGGCTGGAATTAGAGATGCATGTTTCGTACGGTACGCAGCTGAATTTCTGTGTTTTTCTAAGAGCCGATAAAGTTGAAAGTGCTCTGATTAAGTGAGCTGTAGGTTCAGTGAAGAGATCAGTTAAGAGACCTGGAGCTGGCCGACGCTATGGGGTCACAAAGGACCAGCAGTGGGGATCCTCCTTAAGGCTCGGGGAATCTGGGTTTGACTGGAACGGGTTCTCGTGGCCATAAGGGCACCCCGCGAGCGCCTGGGGTTACCACTCCCTGACTCAGCCACTGCCCTCCAGCCACTGCGGCCCACGCCAGCGCCGGAGTCGCGCTCGTCTTCTTCCTCTTCGAGCAGTGGGACTGCGGCCTGTACTGGTGGATATTCGCCTTCTGCAGGTCAGTGACTGAGCGACTGACGGCACAGGCAGACCGATGCACTAACGGGGGGGGAGCGCTTTTGGTCTGTTTTTGGGACTCGCTCAGAGGGAAGACCGAGCCCCCTGGTCCACACGGTGCTGGTTTCAGCCAAAACAGTAAATGTTGGTCGCCCACAAGACGTGGCAAGTAACTGACTTGGCAGTTTAGTTGTCCAGGGTTCCCCCCTTATCTTGAACGCAGGTAGTAGGATACTAAAGAGTTTTAATTAGGTTTACCACTACAAAAATTATAATTGTGTTTAAGGAAATTGAGTTGTGATTTTTTTTCCAGAAGGAAACACTTTGCACTAAGGCAGGGAGTTGTGAAATAAAAAATATTTTTAGAATTTAGAATTGTACATCTTCTCTGTGTTGCAACTGTAGGTTGATTCCTACCTTAACTAAGGCCTCCTTGAAGAAAGAGCTAAGTCTTAACGCAAATGTGTGATGTGAGCACATGTATTTGTTGCCACATCTCTGAACACAGAAGGAGTTCCTGTTGAAGACAGTTATCCCTTTTGAAGACTTTAAGTGAAACCGGCTGGTGCTTACAGTATTGATAAAAACAATGAGAGCATCCCCCCCCCCCACCCTCCCCTCAGTCTGGTTTGGTTGTTTTTCCCTGACTGGCGCCCCCTGCCAGCCCTGGCCTGTCACTGCAGCGCCTCCGTCTGCCTGTCCTTCTTCGTGTTCCAGAAGTGGGAGTGCTGGACCTACTGGTATATTTTTGGATTCTGCAGGTAAAGTTGCACGTCCTTGCAGCTGTGGGATTCGGTGGGACGTGGGCCTAGGGGTCAGTCACAAGTCGGGGATGTACAACCCTGTCCTGGACAGTCACACTGTGTCTTTCTCCTCTTATTTCTTACTAAGCCCTGAACGGATGAATTGGGTCGATATCTCACCTACTATTAGCCCTATCAAGGGTTTGATTATTGAGCACTCAGGTGGACCAAACACTGCAAGTGTGTGGATCCCCAGGACAAGGGTTGGGACTATGATGTATATTCAGACTGTAGTGTAAGTGGTATTGATTCCTGTGTTCTCTGATGTGTTTTCAGCGCTCTGCCTGCTGTTGTGGAGATCTTCCTCTTCATCGCAGTGTTTGGGCTGAAGAAGAAGCCTCTGTGAGCCAGGAGGCAGACTCACAGTTAGGACACTGCTGCCCTCCTTTTAGCTGAACCATGAACCACGTTCCTCCCCTCCACCCAACTGGAGAAAATTGAACCCAGCACAACCCCCCCCCCCTTCAGATTTCGCCCTGAGGTCGTTCGCAGGAACACGCACATGCCCGCAGGACGCCGCTCGGCCCGACCGGCTCTTTCAGTTCACGGCTTTACCGACGCTGTTGCTGCTTATTCGGAAAAAACAGCCACACCCGGTCTACATCTCCTCTCGTGCAAAAAATAAAATCAAAGAAAGGCAGGGAGCCAAACCGGAGCCACGCAGTGCCCAGCGGTTCCTGTGGCCCCAGGCTGTGTGTCCCTCCACTGCGGGTGCTCCGGGTGCAGAAATACAGGCCGGCTCTTCGCCAGGGTGAGTGCCCGCAGCAGAGAGAGAGCAGGCCGCTGGCGGGTGAAGAGGAAGAGGTACCTTTGCTGCTGGCAGAGCCTGGCAGCTCCTGAAGGGCAGTAAATGGGTCAGCCGGCAGGGGCTCTTGATCTTTTTATATTTTCTAAAATAAACAGCCAACTTGACAATAAGCAGTCTGTGATTTTTATGCTGGTTACCTGTTAGGTGTTATGTGTGTGCATAGCAATTTTATTGTTTTCTGCCATGCTTTTTTTTCCCCCTATTATTATTGAGAGGAAAATAAAGGTCTTTTGCTGGCAAGCAATGTGCTGACCTTACAAGGCAAGTGAGGAGACAGTGGAAGGCAGTGTGACTGACATTGCTCCTCTGCTGTCAGGCTTTGCCTTCTGCTTTTAGATGGGGGGGAGGGGGGGTCTTCTTGGAGCTGCCCAGCTAGCTCTGCAGAAAAGCACAACACAGAATGATGCGGTATACTGTACACGTCTCCATTGAGGATCACATCTCTGTATGCAACTCAAAGGTTGGGGCAGACTTCCCTTAAAGATACATGCCCGACTCCAAGAAGGACAGGTGTATGCTTCAGTTGAGTGACTTCCACAGCTCTTTTAAAGGCTGATTTCGTGATTTAATGATCCTGCTTAATCGTGTCTCTCGCTTTTTTGTGCTGAATGTTTTAATAAGATGTGAACTGGATTTTGGATATTTCTTTGTCCCAATGTTTTTTTTTTCTGGTCAAACCGATGATTTTATGGTTGACATCTACGCTGGAGGAAGAAGACGAGGTTGTAATATTTGAGCGGTGGGCGTCAAGCTCTCCTCGGAAGGCGTGCTTCTCACTGGGCAGTTCAGAAAAGATTGTCATCTCGAGTGCCCAATGAGCGTTCCTGATGCCGGCTCTGTGGTTACCGCCCTGGCCAATCACAAGCTCAACCTCTCGTTTGGCTAGTCCAATCAGACGCCGGTTTGGATTTAAACATTGGCGGTCACGCTCGTGGGGGTTAGCAACTGGCTGTAGAAGCAGGGAGCAACAGTGCATATGCAGGTAAAAATGTAATTTAAAAATATATATATATTATTTGCGATTATATTGGGAGACGTTTAATAAATCCTTTTCTGCGCTGGCTATGCTAGTTGTTTTTAATTTGTTGGTTTCGTTAAACATCGTATCTGACGTGTTTTTTTGTGGAGTTTTGTTATCGAGTAACGTTTTAAAGCATTTTACCCGTCTTTATCTTTTCACTTCGTGTATAGCAGCTTATCTCCCTTTAAAACGATTCTCAGACGGAGGTAAACCACAACCCGAGGTGTATCTTTTCAGCGGGTAGTTAGTTTAGGTAAACAAAAGGCAAATCATTTGTAATTGAATAACTGTTGGTGTATCGATCTGTGTTAATTTACTGGGACCCTTTCCGGAATCGCCTTGAATTTAAAATAAAACGGCCGGGCGTTTATAATCCGAAAACCCAGAGGCAGGACACGAAAGGAAACCGCTGGATGCCGGTTTGGGGGTATCTATATTCCACACCCGGGTGGTACAGCTAAATGGACGTACAGTATTTAATCAACTCGATATCACCCGTGGTTAAGCACTCCTTCGTGGTAGACTTGATAAGGTTATTGTAGTAGTTCAAGTAAGTAACTGCGTCAGCATGCGTAGGCTGCAAAGGAACAAGTTCTTGCTCCTCCGTGCTGAAAAGGAGAGACACAACGTTTAGGCTGTGGAGCCGCCTTCAGTGTGTGTTCAGGTCTCTTGTTCCTTCACTGTCACTATAGCTGACCTCTTGAAAGCCTCCAGCGCACGGATTTCGACAGGGTGCACAGTCTTGTACAGTCGTGCTCAAACGTGTCGTCTTTAAAGTGCCTCTTCTTGTGTTGCACCTTAACGCTTGTGAGACGCTGCAGTGAACCTTTTAAGATGGCGAGCGTCTTGCCCGTAACTCAATTGGTGTTGATCTTTAAGATATGACCGGCTCGTAACTGCAGCAGCTGTAAAATCGCCTAGTGGACACAACAGGTTCTTGTTGTGAGTTTTTTGTCCTGTGACGTTGCAGAGCCCTTCAGTAGACTACTTTTTTTTCGGTGTAAACTGCATTTTAAATGACCGTTGGGGGAGTCTTCTCGATTTTCTGTCTTCTGGTAGTTTATCCATCAAACGCCCGGTGATTGGTCCTTTAAAAAAAGATGTCAGCAGCTGTAGTTCCTCTCCCCGCCACCAGGAGGTCTCTAAATGTAGTTAAAATTAACTTATCCGCTTTTATAAATGGCGCGTCTCACCCCGAAAGATAACCAGAGTGACTCGCATATATGTAGGAGGGAGGTGTCGTCATCCATGGTTTTGCCGACACCTTTGGAAGGCGAGCTGAGAAATTGCTTAAGCATTTGACTTTAATTATAATTTCCCAGACTGGGGAGATGTCCAATAAAGAAAACCAGGAGCCCAGATCTGCTCTGAGACAACCGGTAAGTTCTGAACTGTTGGTCTCCTATTACTAGATTCTACCCCTCCAACACTTTTTTTGTGAGCTGTTGTGGTGTATTGATTTGCATGTATGTTATGCAACAATCAAAATGCATGTTTGATATCTTGTTGCCCCCCCCAACCAAAACTGAACCAGCGTGCGTGTATTCTCCTGCATTGATTGATTGAAAACGGGTGACACTATCTTTACGCAAAGGGGGGTGGGTGTCTGGAACAAGCTGCCCTGCCTGGCTGAGAGCTGATGGCTTAGTGTCCTTCAAGAAATATCCTGGTTGGATCCAGGTATTAAAGAGCTATGGAGCAAACCAGGTGAGCTAGATGGCTCTCAGTTGTATGCTCTTAGTTTTTAACAAACGCCCCCCACTACAGGTGTACTGGGCAAATCCCACTGGGAAGAGAGCCAGGGCAGATCCCGGACGCTGGCGGGGGGTTATACCTATCGGCTGGCCTGGGGTCACCTGGGAGTCCCACGGGAGGAGCTAGAAACTGTTTCTAGGGAGAGGGTAGTCTGATCTGCACTGCTCAGTCTGTCACTGTGCGCGTTATTAACCCTTCCGCTTCTTATAAGCTGCACGTAATTGTGTGGCTATCTGCATTGTATGAATTACAGAATGGGACTGACACTGGTGTACACCCTGCTCTCCAGACAGTGCTGAAGTTGTTAAACTGGCCTGATTACGCCTTTAACTGAACTGGAATGAGAACGTGTCGAGAAGCTGGATCACTCCAGTCGTACCTATTGTGAGCTTGGTGTTCAAAGTCTAAGGTGGCAGAATTGGGTGTCCTAGACGGCAAGGCAATTTCTTGTTGCAGGAATGTTGTTTGAAATGAAAAAGCGTTCACAATTTTTTTTCTTTCTCATCTTCCCTGCCAAGTTTGGAACTGTGCCAGGAACGATGGGGCCCCAGCGAGTCCTGAGAAACCCAGTTTCTGAAGCCACCAGCCACAACTTAATCATGGGTCAGTATTAACACACTCATGAGTGGTGTGAAGTGATCACTGACAAAAGCATATTGTGGCAATTCCTTTCTTGCTTTATTTCCCAAGAGGAGCATTTTGACAAGTAGCCTTAAACTGCAATTGAAGGCCAAAAAGTGCTTTTAATGTTTGCTGGGTTATTAAACACTGACAACTGCAATTTTTCTCCCAGGCCCGGGAAGAGTAGCCGTCTCCAGTAATCAAAGCAGCTGCCTCCGGCCAGCGTAAGTATCTCTGCAAGTAGTCTTAAGAGAAAATAGAGTTCTGGGTTGTACATAAGACAATAACGGGGTGAGGGAGTATTTCACTTAAAAAAGACACAATGGTTTTGTAGTTCCATGCACGAACACCTGAAAAATACAAATTGGTGGTCTGTCAAAATTGAGCGGCAATAAAAAAACCCCAAAAAACACACGAGAGCTCTAAGTTATTTTTAATTATTCTCTCCGGTGATTAAATTGTAAAGAGATCGGATTTCAACAAACGATCAGGCTGACTCGGGAAGATGTGTTTTTAAATATAGCGAAGAGCACAGGATTTTTGCTGGTTTAAGAATGCGCGTGTTACACTTCTGTTGGAACCTACCGTTTCAATGGCTGGTTGGCTTTCCAAAAAGAGGAAAAATTGGTAGCGTGAGCCTTTACCGGAGTCTGTTTAGTTACAGAAGTTGTAATTTTGTTCACGCATTGTGGCTCCAAAGGTATAGTATTTTTGTTCCACTTCAGTCTTCTCCTCAAGAGCTGAGTTGCTGTCCCCTGCCCTATGCTTTCAATTGGTATCATTTTATACTTTACAAACAGTATTTAGCCTCTTTATGCCTGTTTAACAAGATACGTAGCCAAGCCAACCCACTTGGGTTCAGAATAATAATCTAGCAGCTGTATTCACGACGCCTATGAATAAGCATGTATGTAAATCGCAATTTAAGGTGGAATTTTTTAATGCATGTTTTATTCATGTTGTAATTCATTTGCCTACTTGCATTATTTGGATGAAATTAGTTGTTGGATAATCAATTAAAAATAGTCGATAGAGTAATCGTTAGTGGCAGCCCTGAAATAGTTTCACCTGGGTGCCGCATTACAATCGGTGGTATGAAGGTCAGATTTTAGCTGAATAAAAGGAATGGCTCGTTTCTTTTTCTAAGAAGGTACAGGTGGTGGTCATTTTGGTACGTAATTGATATTCATTATACCACTTCAATCTACTGGCTTCGGTCACAGTTTGTTCTGGGCCTCCGCACACCTTTGTGCAGACATGCCTTGTTCTTCTCGGTCTAGAAAGGACTTCCTGTTTAGTTTCCACGTGCCTTCTGGTTCAGTTCTTGCTGATCTTGAAACCCAGTGGGTTGTAATGTGGGTCTGAATACCCAGGTCTCTGTCTAGTTCAAATCTAGTTTGCATCTGGTGGCTCCTGCGGCGAGATCTGTCCGTGTGGGTCATTCCCGTCCGGCTCCTTCCACTCTAGCGTTCTTGTTGCTTCGCTTCCCAGCAGGAAGCGCTTCAGCATCAAGGACTTCGACATCGGGCGTCCGCTGGGCAAGGGCAAGTTCGGCAACGTCTACTTGGCCCGGGACCGCAAGCTGAAGTTCATCGTGGCGCTGAAGGTGCTGTTCAAGTCGCAGATCGAGAAGGAGGGCGTGGAGCACCAGCTGCGGAGGGAGATCGAGATCCAGTCGCACCTCAGGTCAGCGGAGGTCACACTGGGGTTCTCGGGTAGGGGGGTGGGGGTGTCCTGGTGTCTGTTGGCCTCCGTTCCAGCTCGGCCCCTTGTTACGCCCCTTTCCTGTAGGTGCTGGTAGTTGCTTAGAACTTGCAGGCTGGGAGTGGAGCCTGTTCAGTGGAAGGATAGTGAAACCATCAAGAGCTGAAACATGCGGAATAGTTCTGGCCGTCGAGGTGCCCCAGAGCAAAATGAAAAGGGGGGAGATGCTGAGGACACTGGGATTGGAAACTCCTGGTCCTAATGGCTCTCTGCCCCTCCCAGACTGTCCCTCGCACAGTTTTTCAGATAAACTGGGGGAACTTCCCAGGTCCAATCAAGCCTGTCTGCTGCAGTTGTGACCTCCCCAGAAAGACCGTTATCTTGCGTCCTTGCATACTCCAGCTCCAACCTTCCCAGGTTTGATAACTGACACCCGCTGAGTCGTACCCACAAGACTCCGGATATATTCAAACGTGCACATTGCCCTCTGGTTAGTTTTCTTTAAGCTGTTTGTGATAGATTGTATGTGTGCTTGTGCACTGCAGTCCCCACCTGCTTGAGCACACCGTAGGAGTGTTTGAGCTTATCTTGAATCTACATGTCCGACGCAGGTAGGAGGGGAAACTTTCGAGCTCGTCGCTCATCCCCTTCCTCACTCTCTCTCTCCAGGCATCCCAACATCCTGCGCTTCTACAACTACTTCCACGACCGGACGCGCGTGTACCTGATCCTGGAGTACGCCCCGCAGGGGGAGATGTACAAGCAGCTGCAGCGCTGCGGGCGCTTCAACGACCAGCGCACTGCCACGGTGAGGGGGGCGGGGGTTGGGGTTGGGGCCGGGGCCGGTCCTGGACCATGCTGGGAGAACCAGTCCAGCGTTTGCTCATAGTTCAGGCTCAGCCCGGTTCTCCTAGTGTTGCTGGTTTTAGTTCTGGGCCGGGGTCTGCTAGGTCAGGGCAGCTTGGATCAGCCACTCAGTTTTGATTGTGCAGTGTTTGCTGAGCTGGAGGTGCACCAGTGCCTCGTGGTGCTGCTGCCGTGCAATCGATCGATCTCCCGGGTCTCGGCAGGCGGGCTGCAACTCCGCCCTGGTCGTAGCCAGCGGAAACAGGGTCTCTGCTCTGAGGGTCGGCACGCCCCAGCTGATTGGCTTATTCCAGGTTGCCCTGTGGGTGACGGCTGCCTGTCCCTCTCTCTCTCTTCCCAGTACATGGAGGAGCTGGCGGACGCGCTGCAGTACTGCCACGAGAGGAAGGTCATCCACAGGGACATCAAGCCTGAGAACCTGCTGCTGGGCTTCCGCGGGGAGCTGAAGATCGCGGACTTCGGCTGGTCCGTCCACGCACCTTCCCTGCGGTGAGTGCTGCGTGGGTTCTCTCCATCCGCCGCTACAACGCTCACTTCTGTTACTCTCCTCCACCCTCATGCCTGCTGACACCATTATAAGCTCAAGTTAGACCGCTAGCCCTTTAATTAGCAAGTGATCAATTATCTCTTTCTATCTGTTTTTTGGAGAATCTCAGAGAATGTTTCATCAACCTACCAGCAAATCTCATTTTCAGTTAGAAGGGAACTAACCATCTCCAAGACTGTGTTCTTTCCCCTTGGATTCATGTGTTATTTCCTAACAACCCTAGCATTGTGCATATGGAGAAAGAGGTGAAATTACGGGGGAAATATCTCCCTGTACCCACTTCAGCCAATCGATTTGTTTAGAGGAGAGGCCTGGTACTAATGGCTTCTTGTGCACCGTCTCTGATCACGGCTATGTGCATGGTGGTACACTGCTCTCCTGTGGTGAGCTGTGAGCAGTCAAGCCCATAATGGGGTGAAGAGGTGTTTCTGTATCTGCTATAGAGTCTGTGAAAGATCCCCATGTTGGATAGCTTGGCTTTCTCCGTATGAAAACTCCATATAGTCATTGATGTGACTCAAATCTCCAGTTTAAGTGTGGATAAAGGTTGATTTATTCAGAAATCGCTGATAATTATACAAATAGAGCTCCTATGACACCCCTTGCATTCCAGGTAAACAGCCTGCATCCACAGGTGCTTTTTAAAGAGTCAGCAACTTCTATTTACAAATGTAAAGCTACCCCACAGAGACTTGAGCAATACAAGTCAGTTCCCTTGTGAAGTACCCTGCCACAGTTCCAGTATGCATTCGTTGGGTGCCTCTTTGTAAATCTAAAAATAGATGATTTTTTTTGTGTTTGGGAAAATTGCTTACTGCTGACGTCTCTAGGGAGGCTACTTTTCAAATCCTTTTGTTGCAGCTGCTTGTACAAATTCAGCCTGTTGTGTGAAGGGATCCGCAGTATCAATGTTTAACGTTGAACCGAAAGTCTGGGCTTTGAATTTTAGGTCCAAACATACAGCCCGGGCTTGTAGTCAAAATGCCTTTCCTCTACAGACGGAGGACGATGTGCGGCACCCTGGACTACCTGCCCCCCGAGATGATCGAGGGGAGAACCCACGACGAGAAAGTGGACCTGTGGTGTATCGGGGTGCTGTGCTACGAGTGCTTGGTGGGGAACCCCCCCTTCGAGACCTCCAGCCACACCGAGACCTACAAGAGAATCACCAAGGTGGGGGTCGAAGCCCTGTGGTCTAAGGGCAGCCCAGGGGCGTAGCTGCTTGGCCTTCGCCTCTCGGCTGACTGCCCCCTCTCTCTCTCCAGGTGGATCTCCACTTCCCCAAGACGGTGTCGGAGGGCGCGCGGGACCTGATCTCCAAGCTGCTGCGCCACAGCCCCACCATGCGGCTCTCGCTGAAGGGCGTGCAGGAGCACCCCTGGGTCAAGAGCAACTCCCGCCGCGTGCTGCCCCCCGTCTTCACCCCCAAGAAAGCCTAACTGGGGCATCTGCCGGCGCCTGTGGGACGCATCGTGGCCTTTCTTGCGGTCTGCACGCCTGGCCGGAAAACGAAACCCTGCTGCTGTCCAAATCTCCACTCCAGGGAACTGCAGCTCTTTGTGCAGAGCCTCTCCAATCCAACCTTCACTGAACCTCCACATACAATACAGCAGCGCCCCTGCAGAAAACCAACCTGCCCCTCTGGAGGTGGGGGTGGGGGGGCTCATCCTGATCTGCAGTCATTTCTCTCGAACCTCAGCTACTTTTCATCCCTGTTCCCTCTGCTCTGTGGGTTTTAGCACCTGTACCATCTGTGTGGGCTCTGCTGGAAACAACTGGCTGGCGCCCCCTGGTGTCGGGGAGGTGGAGGTGTTCCTCAGGACCTGAAGCCTTGGACCTCAACAGCAGGACAGGATCTTTGCTGTGAGGTTGTTTGAAGAACAGGGACTGTCTTGACCGGTCTTTTAGTTTTTGGAGTTGTAGTATCTCACTGTCTCTGTTAATAGCCATTCCTGGAACTTGTTATTCTGGCTGAAAAAAAAAATTTTATGCAGGTTTATGAAAAGTCTTCCACGGTCAAAGGCACAGTATGCCGTTCTTGTATGTCTTGTCTTATATATGTTGTCTGAATGTTTTCTGTTGTATCCCAATGTAAATAAATTATACTGGAGATCCCAGCATGCTAAGTGTTGGCCTGGGGGTCCTCAAGGTGGCATTTTTGAATTACAGCTGTTTTGAGGAAGCTTTGCGGCTATCTGTAAGGGAAGAATATGCAATTTTCTGCCTTGAATTGTCTTGAAAGGAGTTAAGACAAGCTGGCTCAACCTGCCTTTTTTTAGTACAGAGACTGTGACCACCTTTTCTGGAATGTAGAGGCACTCGGACTGCTTCAAGCAGTGCTGCCCAGCACCAGACCTAGTGCAGCCTGTAGGTTTTTATTTCAATTAATGAATCAACTAGCTTCATTGGAGCTGTATAACAGCTGCTGATTAATAGGCGATGCTTTATTTGGCGAATGAGAGTTCTGGTGCCAGTAAGCTGTTCTCATAGGGTTGGATTTGGAAATATTGAGGATTAGCGTGACTTCTTTTAGACTGTTGAAATCTACTGTTTTTATGTTTCGTCACCACTGGGATGTATTTTAGAAAACCAATAAATTCTTTATACAATGTAAGGTGCTGGATGTTTCTTTATAGCTATTTACTGTGGGCTTTTAAAGGGTTTTCTTTTAACAGTGATGCAGGGCACGAGTAGAATAAAAAGCTCACAAGAGGTGCTGGACTGCACATACAATGTTATCTCTGCATTCAATTCCTGTGACTCCAGGAAAAGAGTGATCTGGTTTCCTGAGCCATGCTGCCATTTCCTGCTCTGGTTATTCCCCTTCTAGTGAGCAGGTTCACTGGTTTCTGCTGATCTTTTATCCATCAGCCTCCACTCCATCAGTTGGCTGTCGTTCTGTGCCATATGTTTTGCTCCCTCTTGGGAACATCCAGAAACATCTCGCCAATCCGTGTTTGAGACGAGGTTAAATTAGACCCAGTCGTGGAAGTTGTCGTGGTTGGCTCAAGACCATTCCCTTCATCTTGCTCGGGTTCACAGGGAGGGGTTTATGCCGTTTCTCTTGTGATGAAACGGCACCTCCAGTGGCAGGTCTGTCCGTCGCTGCAGAGCTTCAGTCCTGTGTGCAGTGCCGGGCTGTCTGCTCCAGGCTTGGGGTGTGCTGCACAAGGACCAGGAAGGATCTCGGTCTCTTCTGGGCGATTGTGCTCTGATTGGCGTTTGTACCTGTTTGTGTCAGACCTGCTGTTTTTAATAATCTGGGACTCTGCATGATTTCAAACCAGGGAGAGATTTCTTCACAATCGCTGAGCATTTTTTCCAGCTATGGTGGTTTTGCCAAAAAAGGGTGACTATAGAAATTGCTGAATGTCTAGTGCTGGGATAAGTCTGACTTCCACCACACTTCAACTTGTAGTGTTTTAATTGGCCTGATTTCATTCTTGAGATCTCTTTGTTGTCCTACGTGCTCCTAGTAACGATGAAGCTTTCAGCTGGCTTTTGATATGTAAAAGTTAAATGCTGCTATATGCAGAATAATTCAAAAAGTTTGCAGTGAGTCAAATTTATTGGTTGAAAGAGGGGATTGGGGAGGGGGCGTCATCAGGAGTGTGGTTGCATAGGGGGGGTCCTAAAGGCCTGGATTGGGCCAATGGCCTGGTTTGGGATGCAAGCAGAACGCCAGGCCTTTTGTTTGTGATTTAAAGTATACAGTTAAAAAATCTAATCTCGCCTCGCCTCCCCTCCACCCCTTCTGATGCTGCGACTGGCAGAGCACTGTGCCACTTTGAATTCCAAGATGCTGAAGGCGCTGTCGCCCGCTCGCTGCCAGCCTAAAAATAGCTGCCGTCAGGCCGGCACGGGCGGAGAGGAGTCGGGAGATTATCCGATGCGACAGTGGCAGCCCCCCCACTTTTCACACACGTCAAGTGCAGCAGGGTTGAGGGTGCGAAGTGGGTGCTGGGACCTAATTAACACCTGGGCCTGGTGTGAGAGCCTGGCTGCCTGGAATTCTTTCAATCCGAAGTTGAGGTGTTTGTGTAGGAGAGAAGAAGGGAAAAAAAGAGGCGAGAAGCAACTATCTTGTTGGCGATTCCCCCAGGATTCCTAGAGAATCCGTAGGCAGTGCAAGCACAGAAACGGGAGACGTGTGGATCCGTTTCGAACCAGATTTATGTTTATAAATCTTTTTGTTCTTGAGCTCTCCAAAGATGTTCAGCATTTTGGGTGCTTTGCAGTGGCAGAAAGAAGGAACGATGATAATTGCTTATGCTTATATAGTACTTTTCTGGACACTCTACTCAGAACACATCACAGGTAAAGGGGACTCCCCTCCACCACCACCACCACCACCACCACCCATGTGCAGCCCCACCTGGATGATGCAATGGCAGCCATAGTGCACCAGTACACCCACCACACACCAGCTGTCAGTGGAGAGGAGAACAGAGTGATGGAGCCAGTTCAGAGATGGGGATTATTAGGAGGCCATGACTGGTAAAGGCCTGCGGGAAATTTAGCAAACACCCCTATTCTTTTTGAGAAACACCCACACAGACCACAGGGTGAGCGCCCCCTGCTGGCCCTACTGACACCTCTTCCAGCAGCAACCTTAGCTTTTCCAGTAGGTCTCCCATCCAGCTACTGGCCAGGCTCACAGCTGTTGAGCTTCAGTAGGGCTGCCAGTCGAGAGCTGCAGGGTGATATGGCTGCTGGTAAGCAGAGCCGGGAGAGAGCTTTCCTCTCAATGCATTGATCTGGTGCCCCAGGAGATCATTACTCAGGAGTAATGGGGAACAGATTCCATCACCAGATCTCCTCCAATTTCCTCCTACTCCCAGCTCAGATCCTCATTTTTTCTACCTGCTATCGACAGACACTGCCCCTCCTTGTAACAGCTGTCCGAATTAATCTTGTGGGCTACCAGAGAGTGTCGGTTTGTATTAAAGAGCTCAAGAGTGGAGACCGATCAGATGAGACCACTTCAGCACTTGTTTCTGATTTGTACATTAGTAGCTCATCCAGAGTTTTCCTGAAAGACTCCAAGACGATAGTTTTGGTTTCGTAACTGGGCAGCTTGTTCCAGACTCCCACTGCCCTTTGTGTAAAGAGGTGCCTCCTACTCTTGAGTGTCGCATGCCGGCGACTTCGTATTCTCATTTTTGTTGATTGCTTTCAGTTATGTCAATTTATTTAGCAGAATTCAACCCTTATCTATTTTCTTATATATTTTTCGCCATCAGCATTGTAACTCGGCCAGCGCCTTGCATCGTCTATCTCTTAAGTGTTGTTGTTACGAATGCGACTGCGCCAGGCGGAGAGCGGGATCTGTGTTTTTCTGATTTACCACATATGGTAAAGGAATGGTACACGTCTGGATTAAATCGATCCTTTCCCTGGCAAATACTTTGTGTCTTAAAGAATTACGTCTTCTGCCCAAGCAAGATATTATGATGCCCCAATGTTTAGGTGCAACCCTTTTGCGTGAATAACTGGTTTGCTGTGAAATCCGAGAGAAATAAATAAAAGAATTAAAGTTTGGAGTAGGCGCAAATAAAGTCATTCATACTTTTTCAGAGACGGCTCGTATGGTAGCGTGGCCGAGCGGTCTAAGGCGCTGGATTAAGGCTCCAGTCTCTTCGGGGGCGTGGGTTCGAATCCCACCGCTGCCAATAATCCATTTTAGTTTAAAATAGTTCAGAATTAGGATAGACAAGGAGATACCATCTGTGGTGATAGCAGTTTTACAGACTGTGCGGCAGCTTTGCTCATTTTTCTGCAGATCCCTAGCGTGAAGAAGCGCGGTCAGATCTGAAATCCCAGCTCTCTTTCCACATGCTCAGTCTGCAGGCTCTCGAGCTTGTTGCCTTCGGTCCAGTTAAGCAATGTTTTGGGGGGGGAAGGGTGGAGTGTAGGGGCGGGGAGAGGGCTGTCACGGAAAGGTCAATTTTTTGTTTTGTACCTGTTCAGATTTTATTTTCACAAAGCAACACACCCCGCTTCGGACGATTTGAATTCATCGCTCAGCCTTCGTGACGCGCTGAAACGTTCTAGAATTTGAGACGCGGGAGATGGATTTTATTTATTTGTTTGTTCAAAAAAGAAGGCCACGCTACGAGTTAAAAGTTGGGCGGCATCTTTCTGGCGCTGCCGACAGGTCCAGAAGCCAGAGAGCCAAGTCACTGCGCCGCCATTTTGTTGTGCCTCCCACGGTACCCTGGCTCTCTTTCCCGTCTTTCTCCTCTCTCGACATCGTTTCTCTGAGGCGTAAATACACCCTCCCTTCCCCGGTAACACTCCTGCGTTTAAAATACAGGACGCCCCTTCGTCTTTTTTCCAAACAATTCACGAAAATGAGACTTTTTGCAAAATACAGCGCCATGTATATGTATGGCCGTTATGTTACAGCGCCATCTTCCCTCATCCTCGTCATCTATTTGAAAAGCTGACAGGAAAACATTCAGGGGAAAAAAAAAAACTATAACATGTAAACATTAGGACTAAGCCGTGTAATGAGAGCCGGGGCTTTGTGCGAGTGTGCGGGGGGGAGGCGGGGTGGGGCGACTCTTAACAATGTGCAGCGAATGCAGGACTACAACAACAGGAAAAGATTTTTAAAAACTTTCCGACAATTAAGCGTTTTAACAAAAACAACGCCACTGTTCGACTGTTTCGTGAGGAAACAGAAAAACGCACCCCAGGATAGACAGTTTGTCCCCTGAAAAAGCTGACATTAATGACAGACACAACTAAAAAAAAAAAGAAAAAACACCCCTTAATGAACTTGACCTATTGAAAATTCACCCAGACTGCTAGTACACTGTTAATTCGTGTTCTGGAGAATAAAAAGAAGAAGCGCTAGTTCGGTAGATATTTTAAAAGTTTATTTTTTCCCGTCAATATAGCACGATTCCCAGTATATTGCCTACAGGTTATGCGATTCCAACCCCCCGCCCCCTCCATCTCTCCAGCTCCCCGGAGCTGCCCCGGATGACGGATGACGTCAACAGGCCATCTTTGTTCTCAGAGCCCAGCGCCTGTGTTTTTTTTTTCCCCAATATCCCTACAGCTCGAGCGCCTGGACCCATCCGCGCGCGAGGCAGCCATCCTCTCCCATCGATTTGCACGGTAGAAACTGAATAAATAAGACCGAAGACGGGGACAGGACCACCGCCTACAATATAAAGGGACACATCAGCGACCGCAGCGGGGGAACATAAAATACAAACATCGACAAAATCTGAACAGAATATTTAAAAAAAATATATTGACACCTATTCACAAGAAAAATAATCTAGAACGCCAGAAGCATATACTTAACAGACCACAAACGAGATGTGAGTACGAATAATTGGTTTTGCATGTAGGCGTTAGGTATAAAATATATATATATATTTGTATTAAATTGTCTGCTAAATGAGGATTTTCACAGGCGGGCGAGATGCAATGAATACACCCCAGGCTGCCCTACCCCTGCCCTCTCTCCGAATTGCCAGAAAGGGTCAGATAACGGGGCGGCAGAGTGGATATTTTCCGAGTGTCCTTTTATTTCACCACCGTATGAGAGGACAGAGAGAAATAATGAAGCGTCTTGTTTAAACGCAGTACTGTGTCACTCCGGACAGAACCAGCCCTTCGCGTTGTGTTGTACAGGAGCCGAGAAATGTTTGTAATTATTGTCACTTTTAATTTTGTTTTCCCCCCTAATCATCTCTTAGAAATACGCTTTCCTTTCGGCGAACAACACAAGCCTCTCTCGCCATCTCACGTGGGTTGGATGTAAACCATTTGTGTCGGGTTTCTAGCCGATTTTCTTCGGCGTTTTGAGTCGCAAAACAAGCGGCTTAGACGACTCCCTGCGCTGGTTTGCGAGAAGCGAGCGGGGGTCGCGGTTTTGGGTCAAAACGTTGATGGCGTTTGTGCCGACAGCGCTGTGGTTCCCTGTCTTACATGGGGGCGATATCCCGGGGTAATCGCGGCGCCCGTTCGTGGGCTTGTGTAGGGCTGTCACGGGAGGACGGAGAGGGGGCTGGGTGTGCGGTTCTGGACGGTCCGGGCGCCAGTGGACCGCATCCCCACCGAGGAAGGACTCCGTGGGTCCCGGCCGATCAGGGCCGGCTGCTGGGATTTCGGGATGGCGATATCACCCCCGGTCTCGACAGGTTGATCGCGACAGGGGAAGGAAAAGCAGTCTGGTTTGGATGCAGCCCGGTGCTCCTGACTGCGATGTGTTCGCCCACAGCTACACTGTAATGTAGCTCGGAAAGATGGACAGAAGACTCGACCTGACAGGTTTTCCGCTGCCCGTCGTTGTAATAAGGGATCTGGTTGCTTAGGCGTCCACTCTGATATTTGTTTTTGAAAGGGAGCAAACATGACTGTTTCAGAGGCGCACGATTTATATAAGATGTCAGAAATATGGAGGATGAGGGTGATGGTGATGACGATGATGGTGATGATGATGACGGGCAGAACGCTGTCACTTATAGCGCTGGCGACCGGGGGCTCGTGTCGGTCGTCCGCCGCCTCAGGTGACGGATCGGGAGCAGAGAGCGGACCGGCGGCCGGAGTCGGTTCTGTGAGCTTCACCGATCCAAAACGAGCGTGGAGCCGCAGGGATCGGGCGTGATTATGGAAATTTAACGATTTTTTTTTTAAAAGAGGGGGTATTTTTGTATTCAGCGCTTCGTGAATGTGATTGTAATGTGATTGAGCGTCCAGGGTTTTTTTTTTTTGATGAATCACGCTTCTCGAATGAGCTACCCCCCCTCCTCCTCCTCCTCGCCCCCCCCGTCTCTCTCACCCTCTCTCCGGTTTAACGGAGAGGTAGGGCTCCACCATCCAGCCCACGACGCACTCGGGTGTATCCGCGCCGCCCCGAGAAGATGAGGTGTTGTCTTTTTAAAACCGGACACCCGAGGAGTACACGGGGGGGGTCGCGCCGGGTGGTCGGGCGGAAAGAGCTAACTTGTCATTCTCAGGCCCCGGGGTGTGAGTGTGCGCAGATCCCCCCATCTCCGCGTCCTGTCCCCTGCCTCCTGCCTCTCGCCTCTTCTTGCGTTGTAGCTCTCTGTCCGTCACTTACACGCCACTAATCTGCATGCAATCACAGCAAAGACAGGTTGCTCTTGCCTGGTATGTTCTCTGTGCCTTTGTTTACATGTGTCCATCCATATCTCTCAAAATATCAAGGGTGCCCTGTCTCGAATACACTTGGGCGAGAAGATCGCCGATATGTACCTGCAATACACACCTGAAATGCCGCACCGCATTTTTTTGGTTTTGTTTTCGCGGTGAGGTTGCGGCGTGTACTTCTGTATAAAAGCAAACCTCTAGTTCTGGGGATCCGTCTCTGACGTGACGCGTTCCTGCGTAGGGCACGAGAGCGCAGCTCGCCTCTCGCCTCTCGCCGGCGGGCGGGAGTGCGCGCCCGTGCGCCCGTGCGCGGCGCGTGTTGGCAGGGCCAGGCTCCGCTCTTCCAAGATGGCTGTGGCGTCAAACCCCTTGAGCAGCGCGGGGAGGAGGGGAGGGGGGGGTGTTGTGTTTTTATTTCTTGGAAGAGGACGGATTTGCCGTCTAAAAATAGCTCGAGACGCGAATAGTGGTAGATCTGGAATCAAATGAAAGCAGAGGAATGAACACAATTTTATCAGAAGTCCAGTGGTATAGGTCCTGTGACAGTAACCCATGGCTATTTCACTTGGGGATTTCCGTATGAGCAGCATCTGGCTTTTGAGCAACACACCACAGAAGAGGTTTAGTGTGGATTTTACACAGCACGCTGCACTGTGGGATTAACGTGACACCACTTAGAGGTGACCTTTATTCGGAATTCTGTCTCCCCCGGCTGGCTGGACTGTGTCATGGCGGGTCTTGCGCCAGAAGGCTCATGTTTACCATATTAATCACACAGCCAGTTGTCTGATGTTTTATTGGTAGTCACAGTCACAGGGATAGACTCTCACAGTCCCTGTGGAGTCCGGTACACTGACACAGCCCAGTCACAGGGCTCTAGACTCTCACAGTCCCTGTGGAGTCCAGTACACTGCCACAGCCCAGTCAC